GTATTTTAAGTAAGAACGAGCTTCTAATTGTCAACATATGCCCATCTCAGATATTTTCGTCATTCAATCGATGACTCACCGCACTTCGCTTTGTCCATGTTCACTATTTTGATGTCACCCCCTGTAATTACGCATCTACATTGTCCGCTTGTCACACCACCTGTTTCCTATAACTATCTTGCCCTTGTCTGTGGGAATGTACCAATGCTACTACGCGTTGTCTCACCTGTCCTGTGTCCCTTTTTTTAGGTTGCCATTGAGGGCAAGGCCACCAATCAACAGTCCACTGGGCGATGCTGGTTGTTTGCAGCCTGCAATATGATTCGCTTGGAGATGATGGTATGAGATACAGTCCCTGCGCACGGTTATATACATACCATGTGTCCGGCTATAGACCGTGCACGCGTATGGCATGCGTATGCATAGTTACATAGATAGTGTAGTACACTATATCCAAAAATACGTATGTGTGTTTATGTACTCATTATATTATAAGTCTCTGTATGGCTGTTGCTGCTTATTCGCAGACCATACAGTTGACGGCTATAAATAAGCGAGCCAATGGACTACAACTAAGGGATCCTCTCAGCGGCGCATCTCTATATTGCGTTTGTATCGCTATTTACGTTTACTTATTTGGCATCTGAATGATACGCTAGTTCTGTCGCTGTCCTCATATGTGCCATTGGGCGCATCTCTATATTGCGTTTATATCGCCATTTACGTTTACTTATTTGGCATCTGAATGATACGCTACTTCTGTCGCTGTCCTCATATGTGCCATTGGTCCCATTACCTCCGCCGCGGCGCAGAAAAACCACAAGCTAGCAGACGACTTTGAACTGTCACAGACGTATCTGTTCTTCCACGACAAGTTGGAACGCGTTAACTTTCTGTTAGAGAATATACTCAACACAATGGATGAAGACACGGACAGGTGTGTAGAGTGTGCTACTCTCCCGTAGGCTGTGTATGAGTGCAAGGCAAGTGATCATATGTAACGTACCCACCGATAGATCGAGTTTGGCTATTTATAACCGGTTGTCATTCATCCCAATTTCTATAAACATATGTTCCCTGTGTTGAGATATAAATTGAGGTTGATTTATATAATGTCTTGTTTATATCTCATTTGTTCATTTATTTCTTATTTATATCTCATATCTTTATTCGTTTCTTCCTTACTTGTATCGCATTTATTCGTTTATGTCTTGTTTATATCTCATTTATTCATTTATTTCTTATTTATATCTCATATTTGTTCGTTTATCCCTTACTTATATCGCCTTTATTCGTTTTGCCTTATTTATATCTCATTTATTTGTTTGTTTCTTAATTGAGTCTCGTTTATCCTATACCCCAGTCGGCTCATCCAGCACTTTCTGAACAATCCGCTCGAGGATGGTGGCCAGTACGACATGTTCGTCAACATTGTCGAGAAATACGGCCTGGTACCCAAGGTGCGTCTGCGTTTGCACTTGTTCTAAACACACACCACATGTGAATATGTATGAGTATATATATATATATGAATACAAATGGACATGCATCTCAAATACCATCTTTATGAATGTGTATAACACATATACCTATAAGTATGTATACACATGTGGACATATATCACAAATATCTATAAATTGGTACACGTATGACATACGTGTCTGATGTATACACAGTGGTCTGTTTTAGGGTTTACCCTTCCTCCACTGTGCTACTATCTTCTCATAGCCCCATTTGCCACCCACCCTTCTCTCTCTGTAGTCAGTCTATCCTGAAGTGGTGACGACCAAATCCAGTGTCCACTTGAACCGAATGCTCAATAAGAAAGTGCGTGAGTACTGCTGTCGCCTACGCAGCGAGTATAAACAGACCGGGGGCAATATGGCCCAATGCCGTGAAATGAAGGACACCTTCATGACCCAGGTGTACAATGTCCTGTCCATCCATTTCGGACCGCTCCCCACCACTTTCAGCTGGTAAGGACTGCTTTGTTATGCACCAGGTTGTGGTGTATGTGCAGGTGGTTTGGGGGTTCATTGGGCTTGTATTTGCGTTGAAGTGTGGCGTATGTTATCGTATAAGCTTATACCTATATAAAGTCATCCCATGTATATTCATATGCATTTATGTAGAATCACCCCATGTATATTCATATGCATTTATACAGAATCATCCATGTATATTTATATGCATCTATATAGAATTACCCCATGTATATTTATATGCATTTAAATAGAATCATCCCATGTATATTCATATGCGTTTATGTACCATTCGCTTGAATACACTGTCTTCTGCAGGACGTTCCACAACAAAGACAAGGCCTTCACTCGCTATGATAACCTCACGCCCCTGTCCTTCTACCGCACCCACACGGGCATCAATGTCAATGACTACATCTCTCTCATTAACGATCCCCGAAATGCGTACAATACGACGTATACAGGTGAGTTACGCTGTAGTATGCACGCACGATAAGTTGGACTTATACAGGTAAGTTACGCTGTCGTACGCACACATGCACACATTACTTGCATCACACAAATACATGTACAAACAGAATGGGATGCTCGAATATCATATGCACACTCTGCATAACGCCATACATTTACAAACAGATACAGACACCCACATACCATATGAGCAGTATACCGACATGACTCAAATACATACGCCAACAGACAGGGATATCCATATATGCATCTACACACAAATGTATGCAACCTTATACACACACACACGCTCATGTTTCTTTATAGGACTTATCTCTGCTGACCTTTCGCGTGCTGTTTATATCACTTTGCATTTACAGTTGACTATCTAGGCAACACTATTGAAGGCCACCGTATCAGGTATGTGCACGCTAAATATAGACATACTTGTATTTACTTACATCTATCTACCTATCTATTTGATTATCTATCTGTATATCTATCTACCTACCTGCCTACCCCTTTATCTGTCTAACTAACCATCTATCTATCTATATATGTACGCACTTACGTATGTATGTATGTATGTATGTATGTGATCTATACCTTTGCATATATATATATATATGTGTGTATATATCTATGTACATAACTATATTTATATATCTATATCTATATTTATATATATATATATGTATGTATGTATGTATGTATATGTATATATATATATATATATATATATGTGTGTATATATATATATATACATAAATATATACATGTATATATACTA